CCAAGAGAAATATATTTACAATAGGTGGCAGTTCTCAAGTATCTCTGGATCCAGAAATGTTTTCTTGGGGACAATCAACTAATCACTTCTTCTAAGGCAGGAAGACAGTTGTATTGGGACATTCACAATTCCCAATATAATAAACCAGAGAATGGTGTCCTATCACAAACTAACAAAGTCATATCAAATAAGAGACACAGAATGAAAAAGACCAGAACGTAGCATTAGCACGCACAAATAAGTTCTGCATGTTTTCCAATAGAGTGTATACTAAGTTAATTTATGGAACTATGTTAAAGTTTCATTTGTTCCCGCCCCCCCCAAATAAGGTGACAAATCACAGTTCCTGTTTTCCACAACTGTGCCAAAAAATCAGCTATATAATCAAGGAAGCTTCAGGGACACAAACACATTTTTAAAAAATTAAAAATAGGTTTGAGGGCTTTGGGACCATAGGCTGCCGTTTTTCTCTGTATAACAATTGTTAGGACAACTTACAGTAAAAACATGCTGTAAGATTTTTTTTTGCTACTGTAGCTGAAAACATGTTTCATTCTGGTCACTTATTTCATAACAACAATCACACCATATCTAAAAGCCATTGATGGTGAATTGCTTCTCTATCTCATTCCTCTTATTTCCAATGAGAAAAGACACAGGAGTTTAGTTTACTTTCAACTTTTTTTTTTTTTTTTTGCACTGGTTTCCTGATTCCAGGTTTGAGACACAAACCTGAAAATTAGTTTCTTCTAAAGTTAAGCAAAAATTCAATTTTATAATTTAATGATGGACTAGTCCATATTTTGTTATAATGAATACCACCAGTACCATATATAATAAAAAACAGATTTGCACAGATATGTCAAAGATGATATTTCTTATGCTTTATGACTTTTTAATTCCATCTTTTTACATAGTTTATATCTATATGTCTGACCAGGTTTCTAGATCAATATATATTTTAAATGACATGTTTTATTCTACAATAAATTTTGTATCTATATCCATTTAGATGAAAGCCAATCTCACTCTGCTTAATAGGACTTGCTGCATATAAAAGGATTTAGAGTTCCAGCCTATGACATGTTTTTAACTGAAAACAGCAATATTAAATAACTTCACTGAATAAAGAATTTCATAAAAGTCCTGCATTATTTTGCATTTAAAATTATTTATTTATTATCACATTTGCTGTCTACCAAACTCTCTCTGTGGTTTACACAGAAAACAAATTTAAAACTTAGCCAAACAGAATAGCAATTAAACAAGTAAAACAAGTATAATTAATATTTTTAAATCAATAGTTAAAATCAACATTAAAATCCTATACAAAAAATATTTAATAGTCCTTTTAAACATTAATAAAAATGTTAGGCTCCTTAATTCTGCAGAGTGTGCATTTCAAAGAATTGGGACAATAACAGAGAAGGCTGTTTTGCTACCATATAACCTCACAGAAACTATCTGTGAAAATTCTGAGATGAGTTAACCCAAAGAGTCTGAACCTAAGCTATGTAGGGTTTTAATAATAATGCCTAACTATCTGTCTTTTATCCAGAAATGGATTAGTGTCTGGTCTTTTTGTTCTCCTAAGACCAACTTGGCTAGGGAGTTTTGTACCAGCTGAAGATTCCAGACTAGAAACAAAGAAACATTGCCATGCATAGCCCATTACTATAGTCAAGTCTCAAATATCTCAAGCAATTTAGAAGGATACCATTGTCAATTGTTCTGAGAGATCAATAAGAACCAACAGAGTCTCTCCAAGGACAGAAGGCCTTCAGCTGGTTCTGACCTGACAAATGAGATGTTAACTTCAAGGCCACACAATCTGTAGGCAAAGTGGCAGAGGGACCAGGTGTAAAATCCCAGAGAAATTTCTCGTACCTCTTCCTCCTGCTACAGCTCCTACTTTTTTGTGATGTCTTTAAATAGGTAACTGGAAACTACCATTTTAATTCTTTGATAACTTCAGCCGCCAAGAGCTGTTGAAGAAGCAAGTAGCAAATATACTCTCTAAACAATAAATAAGCCTTGCTTGTCTAGCACGACCAGAAATTAAGACAAGTCCTTTACAACACTGTTTAAATATGCTGCCATCTACTTTTGCAAAACATAACATCAAAACGTATTACTAAAAGCATGTATGGTACTAACAATCAGAAATTGTAACCAACTGTGTCTGAAAAGATTACTCTAGGGAAGGAAAATGCATTTTCTTAGAGATATTCTCATTTAAGACAACTCTTCAAAATACACATCCTGTTTCTAAGAAGCTTAAGACTGATCTTTTGCTATAAGATTAGCACAGTACCTGCTTTGAAAAATGTTCTTCTTTGAAGTATATAGTCCTCTTTCTTCATCTCAGTTCCCCTCACCAAACAGTACTTCTTCCCTCAAACAGACAGTTTTTACTACTCTACCATCTATTATACCTAAGTACACTCCTACTCTTCTAATACTTTTATTGAAGGATACTAATGGAGATGAAGTTTCAATCTGAAAATAAACCCAATCACTTGCTCTTTTGTCACTGTCGGTAATCCAGTAGTTAGAATATTTTGCAATGTTACTTTACTTTCCAAGTGCTAAAAATTCTAAAAGGTGCAATTCCAACATATCTGGATGTCAGATTAGAAAAAAGCTGCATTCTATACTTAATCACATCTGTGTAAACAAGAGTGCTTGATTTTTACATATAGATTTATCCATCATTTGTTCAGGAGAAGAAATAACCACCACATAACCACCATATTGTAGAAAAGCTTTATTTAGAAGATGAAGCTCAGTATACTTTCAGGCAGAATAGTGACATGTATCAAGACGTCCAAGTCTCCCATCATCTACAATCTACATTATATTACTATTAATATCTGTCCAATTTCTTTTCTATATGCTTATTCTCTGGCAATAATCCAGTATTGTGACAATGAGCCTAAGATCATATACTAGAAAATTCTAGTTCTAGGAATTTTCCATAAAGAATTGATGTAGGAAAACAGATATAAACTTTGATCCGATTTGTTTTAAAGAAGCACATAAAACAAGAGTGCAATGTTTCGGATCCCTTGTCTTATAAGCAGCCTTCCATTTCTGATTAAGATATTCCTCCCTTGCAGTAGCTCTAGCCTTTGGGGAAAATTTGTGATGATCACCTTTTGGGTGATGAATAAGAGATGGGAAAACCTGACTATGTTGGTACATCATTACAAATTAGCTAGCCACAGTATAACCATATTGATCAAACCCAGCCTAAGCAGAATGCCTGTGATTTAATCCCAGAAAATTGGGTCACTTGAAATATTCATGGTTCAATGGATTTGGCTGTTGGAAGTTGTGACCCAGCAAGAACCCAAAGATCACCGATTCACATTTACTAGTAAGATCTAGAGCTTCTGAACCAAATAGCAAACCCACACAGATAATGCCTTTATTAGGCCAAGTGAATTGATACAGCTTTGAGTTCTTAGAACTCTTCACTGAGGGAAGTTACAAAAACAATACTCTGAGTATGCCAGCATACTACACATTCCTCACAGTTGGTAGGGTGCAAGCAACAGTATGTTGGTTTGAAAAGTAATCTCTAGATTAGACAACCTGCCATGCACATAATATTGTCAGCATGTCTGTGGTAAAACTGGCCTGTGGATGTGCTTGTGGCATAGTAGCCAAAAGGTGCCAAAATGTACCAGTGCTGCATATGGTATAGGTGCAACAAAGACTAATAATTATCTACACCTTATCTTACTAAAAAGCATTAAGTGCAAGCCTTGACTGACCAAAGCCACAATGACTGGTAGAGATAAGTATCTAATGCCCCATCCATGGCATATAGAAGACTGTGACTTGAAATATAAGATGAATCTGAAGGCAGCCTGATCCTGTCAGTGAGCTGTACATGGTCTGTTAGGATGTTTGTTTATTGAAAGAAGTGAAAATAAGGATGTGCTTTGGCCAATTTCATTGTATGAAAGTATGTTGAAGTGGTTTGGTCATATAAAGTCTGAATGAGGACTGAATTGCAAAAAAGAAATATATGAAGAAAAGCTTTATGGATTTAGAGGAAAATCATGTGGGACAGGGTTGGCAAGATCCTGAAAAGAAGAGAAATGAGAAACTTTTTAAAAAGGCAATCTATGAAGTGGTGAACGTGTATGTTAATACAGATGATTTGTAAGGACTGAAAAGTATGGGGAGGGACAGTGAATAGCACTTGTAAAATAGTTTAAGCCATGTTAGTTTTTTTTTTTTTTTCATACATCACATCTTTAATTTCATTGGTTTACACTTTATTACTCCTTTTCTGGCCTATGTATATTACTTACCCTGGAAGTCAGGGTAAAAAACGGGCAAGTATGTACAGGGAACAGGATACCACAATATACCCCCTTGATGATATTTCCTTGGCCTTATCATGTTCTCTGCTCAAAATTTAAAGATTCCCATGCTGGTCCTTGTACTGTACACTGCAAGACAACTAGTTTTGCTTTGTGTTGTTTTCCATTCAAGCTGCCAGGGAGCCATGAGTCCAAAACATTATTCCACATGTGACCCACACAACCTATTTCCAGTGAAGGAAAGTGCAAAGTACTACTGTCATAGGCAGCATACGTGCAACTGCCCACCCTCCAATAAGGAAATACATTTCTTTAGCTAGCTGCAATAACCTACATACTTTATAGAACAACAGCTGTGTTATTACAAGGATTAGTGGGGGGGGGGACCCTATCAATTCTGGTAGCATGCACACTGTTAGGTTGCAAATGAGCATCCCCCCCCCCAAATCTATAAGATAGGGCTAGAATTTATCATGTAGCAAGAGAACCTGTCATAGTATGGTAATCTACTGCTTGTTACTCTTTTTCTCTCTACTGATCGATAGAAAACGGAAGAGAAAGAGGTTACCCAATGTGAAGTGGTGGAGTTAGAAAGGGGCGCGGGAATGGAAAGCAGAGAGAACAGAACTCCAGTGGAGCAAGGGACCCAGGTGGTTAAGTTACCTGCGCTGGAAGTCTTGCTCAAAAGGAGTCAAGTAGGGATCTTTCTCCAGCAGTCGCTCCAGTTCAGCCGGAAACGAACTTAGCACAGCCATCTTTGCAACTGCAGTAGCACTTAGCTAAGAGACGTGCTCTGGAACCGCTCCCCTCCCTTCGGACCAGGACTAAGATAGGCTAAGCCAAAGAAGTGGGCTGGCAGAGCCCCACTCCTCCCTCTCTTCTAGTGGAGCTAAACAGAGGCTCTCCATTCAGTCATTCGCTAAGAAAGGGAAGGCAGGAGAGGGCCGTTCCGAGTAATCCCCCGCCCCCTGCCGACGTCGCTAGGATGATGCGGCAACTGGCTCGTGCAGCATGAAGATCTGCAGCAGCGAAGCCTCCCCGCGTATGACTCACGCTGACTTCTCGCTGAGCCAAGAGCCGGCTCGCCTGGAAACTAACGGAGCTCTGCTCTGCAGCCCTTCACGTTTAACGCGTCAGGTCTCCAGCAGCCTGGGCACGTCACAAAGCAACATTGTAGGGGGAGGATCTCTAGCGGTCACGTGTAACGGGGAAGCGCTGACTGAGGTTTCAGGGAGAAAGCGATGTGGGTTATCGGTCAACGTTTGCTGCTTGCTAGGAAGTGCGCAAGCGCAGTGGAGGACTTGAAGCTGCTGCCCGAGAAAGGGTATTAGCGTTAACGTTTTGAAAATTGTGACCCGGGTGGTAAACGGCAGACAATGAAGGGTAGAAGATGTGGGAGTAGTTAGGGAATGGCAGGCGTAATTAAAGCTTTTGTTGTTAAAGCCTCCTTTCCGATAAAGAGAGGTGAAAAATACTATTTAGTACGTCTTTAGTTTTAACCTCATTTATTTCAGTAGGGTACGTTTTTTCTAAATAAAGCAGAGTATGATTGGGCTGTGTCTGATTTAAATTTAGTAAGTTTATATTGCATGCAGTACAGTACAGCCGAAACTTTAACGTGGAGATGGATTTCCTTTTTATTCTGACCGGGGCAATTCTTCAGTTTTCCCCTCTTTCGGTAATGGCATAAGCCACTCCTCAATTCAGTAACACAATTGGTTACAGTGCTAAAGAAACATTTATGCAAGTTTAGAAAGTTTTACCCAGAAATAGTTATTTCTAAAGTGATTTATGATGTCTGATAAACTGGCATCATAAAGTCTGATATATTCACAGAAAAATCACAAGCCTAGAATCACTGCTACAGTAAGATGGGCAGCATATATACATTTGACAACAAATAAAAAAAAATAAAGTTTATTGCAACTAACCATTGGTTTATGCAAATTTCACAGAATAGCATAATTAGGATTAAATATGCTGAAAAGCCCAAGTCTTCACATAATATCTATTATCTTTTA